AAGAGGGGAGGAATCGGTGGAATGTGGGACCGTCGTTTTTCCCGGAGCAGGAGCGCTGAGGCGTGGAGGGCTGGGCGTGCGCTCGCTTACGACCCTGCCATTTTTCTGGGGCATTGGTGGCAACGCTGGCGGGTTTACAATCGGATGTTGGGCACTTGGCACCGGAGCCTGTTGCGTCGGTTCTTGGAAGCACGTCCGGTCGGATCCTCTGGATTAGCCTTGTGTAAACCACATTGCGGACGTTACTTCGGAGTAAACGTGTATTGGACTGCACCGCTAGCTCCAGGATACTGTTTTGGAATGTAGTGTTTGCCCGCTGTTTAGTGCCGGTGTTGATAAATACGCCTGCTGAGTTTGCAGCAGTCACCAGTGACAAAAATCTGATTCCTGACAACTCTATACAGCCTTTGAAATCACGGATCAAGGTTTCCTCAGCCGTCGGGGCGTGGGTGTATGTATCTCTGTGACTGTTGCTACCACCTCTGGTTCACACAGTGCATTAGGTATTGGGAATAAGACAGATATCACTGGGTCTTTGAGTTTGCCTCAGAAAGGATGGAAGTGGATACTTTGGGAGAAGATGAAAGCACAGTTTATTATACCATATTGTCTAGTAAAGTATTGGAGTTCTCTTGGTGTGTTCAGGAGACTGCCTTCTTAGAAGGCTTTGATTTCTTTTAACTGGAAAATGTCAAGCTTCTCATGCTTTGCCTTTATCTTCACTGAACCCAGAGGTACATATATAAGAGGATAGATAAAAAAAGCCTTTAGACAGCTAACTTACACATGCTCTCTCCCCCCCCTTCTTATGCTGTTTGCTGTTTATCCGTCTTGTAAAATAATAATCTTGTAAAATAACAACAATAAAGAACTCCCTTTGAGTTGTCAAGCTCAAAGGGAGGCTTGTAAGAGCTGGCCAATCATTTGGATCTCCATAATTGCAATCAAGGTGTTAATTTAACTAACTTGGACAGCAGCTTTATGTCAAGAAAAGCAAACTGTGACCTTCTGACTGAAATAAAAGTGGAAGATAGTTTCGGTGGCTCTGTTACCACCCAGCTGGATATTTGTTTATAGTGGGGTTTGGGGGGGTGAGTGAAATAGAAGAATCTTGTTCTTTAGGTACATTGCAGAGCAAAATATGGGTAGCATGTATGTGAAGGACTTGGCCTTTCATAAAACCTATGTTTCTTTCAAATGCTTGTTGAAATGCTTCACTTTCCCTTAAGGTTTTAGAAGCTCTTTCATTACACTGGATGTTTAGATATTTGTTCCTGATGGAATTCTTTTGTGAGGACATTAGTGGGACAGGTAGCAAAGTTTTTGACTTCTGTCTGAAGTCCTTTCCTATGTGAAGCTGCATAGTGTTTAGATGAAGCTGTAGGTTGAAGCATTTAGCCCCAGCTACTGACGCATTTGGTGATATTATAGTTTATGAAGTTGTCATAGGACACACACACACACACAGACTAACAGCATGGCTCAGTTGCATCAAAGCATGTATGTGCTTTATATCAGCTTTGGCTGTCTTACCATCAATATTTAATAGGCAATTGAAAGTCAGTCAAGAAATTGAACCCAGAAAGTCACTAAATTCATCCAGGGAGGGTGGGAATTAATTTCAGGATTCAAAGAAAGCTAACTTTGAAGTCATACATATGAAATTCTTAAGTTTTCTTACTCTCTGTAAATCATTGTTATGTGCCTCACCCCCATGCACACAAACACCATGCATGTGCCCACACATACACCTCCTCCCAAAACTTGATGGTGCTTTACAGGTCTAAAGAAGACTGCAATGTGTAATCAGTTTGATCAATTGGCTAAAATGCCTTTTGATAAAATAATGTAATGGATGAATTGCGATGGAGGTAGTCGCATTAGACCACATCAAGTGATTTCGCCATCCCTCTTGAGACTATGTTTTCCAACTGACAGTTGCTCTTCAAAAACACAGATGTTTTTCTCATCACCTGTTCTCTGACCCTCTCTAACTTGGGATGTTTTTCATGCAAAGCTTCTGCAGTCTTACAATGTTGTGGCTCCCTACCCCCCTGAATGAAATACATTTTTTTAAATATATATTTTTAAGAAGTACTTGGCTCTCCATTCCCGTACACCTGGAGCTCTCCTTGTCATCTCTGCTTACAACTCAAGAAAGCTGCAGAATAGAAGTTGTGTTTTGAATTATGCTTGCTGAAAGGGACAATGGTGGTAGAGCAAAGAACAGGGGGAAAATACTCCTCCCACCCCTTGGCTTGTAGAATGACAGCTAAACCTTGCAGCCCCATGTTTCTGTTGTTGGGCTTGTCAGGACTCAGATCTTACAGGAAGCAGAGTTATTCCAGCTTAATACTGATAAAAGAGTGCAAAACATCATCTATCAAGATTTAGTGGGCACTTAGTCCCAGCACCTTGAGAAAAAGACGTATTGGGTGATTGCCTGACATGTTTTGGTGAACGGAACATTTACATGGTTGCTCAAAATGAGAAGAGGCCAAACTTGCTCAGCTGAATTCTTAAAGGGTTGTTTTTACTTGCTTGGAATAGCTTGAAAAACCCAGTATTATTAGCCCTAGCCCTGTTAAATGGTTGGTATATAAAGCATTTTGACACACTATAAACTATATTTCTTCTCCTGCAGTATCATGATATTTTGATTTTATGATGGTAGGGGGAGAAGAAATGCACACATCCCTACATCTTCTGAGATGTACACATTTCAAGAAGACATTAGTTACCTTTGTTGTGATCTAATTTTCATTGTTATGATTTATTTGACAAATGAATAGAAAATAGCTTGGAAGACGCATACATTTTCAATGTAGTAAGAACCAAATATGTCCATTCCTCCTTTGTTACTATTTTAGTCATATGCAGACATAGAGGAATGCGAACCCTAATAGCTTGAAAGATTTTTTTCTGCCCCTTATGGCATCTTTGCATCCACAAGGCTGCTTGATAGCCCTTTATCTTCAGATTTATGATGATAATACACGCCCAACAGACTCATTCACTGGAGGATGCAAGAGTTTGTGAGGTCAGGCGGGTGCTGGAGTGCAATTTCCTTTCTCTCTAAAGTTTTGATTAAATAATATCAAGGGCAGGCACTGCTATTTAGCATTTCTATCGCACTTTTTGAAAGCACTTTGCAACTTCTATTTGACTTGTCCATGCAATCAGCTCTGAAAGAGAGGCATCTTTTATCCTGATTTTGCAGGTGGAATGAGGGCAGCGGGAATGATGGCTGGCCAAACACATTGGACATGATTAGATCAAAACTATAAAACCCAAATATAGCTATATGTTTCTGTACTTCTCAAAGATGAATTCAAATTCCAGTGCTAGTAGAGGTATGTGGATAGACTTGGTGACAGAAACAAACCACAGATTAGATTTTGGGTTCCCATAGAGCAGTGTTTCTCAACCTTGCCAACTTTAAGATGTGTGGACTTCAACTCCCAGAATTCCCCAGCTAGCTTGGGAATTCTGGGAGTTGAAGTCCACACAACTTAAAGTTCCTGAGGTTAAACACTGCCATAGAGTGTTTGGGGATGCTTCCCTTGTCGCTTTTGGAACTCCTTGTTCCATGAGAGCTTTTGGCTTTGTATTGGTTGCCAAGTGGGGTGTGGCCATTTATTGAGTTCCCCAATGACAGTTAAGGCAGCTATAACATGTTCTTAAAATTACAAATATGTTCATGAGCAAGAAAAGTTGGGGACCCCTGATACAGATGACAGTTTCCTATTGTAACACTTTATAGTTTTCAAAATTGAAAGTGTTACAATAGAAAACGTCTATTTATCCACCCTGAAAAATTGGGGGTAGTGTTCATTGTTGGAATTTGGGAAGTGAACCCATATTCCATCATGCTGATTTTGTTGGCTTTTATTGCTTCATAGTTAGGGATGGTTACTTTGTTCAAAATGACACCGAACTCTAAAAAATTAGTTTTCCAGAACTATCTATTGCATGTAGTCTTAAAGAAAAAGTAACTTTCCAATGAGAGTTTCAACTATATGCAAGTTTGTTAGAGAAGAACAGCTCAGCGTCTAATTAGTCCCTCTTCTCCTCTATGATATTTTGTAAAGGAAATGTACAATGTAATGATATACCATGGAAGAATTAGATACAGGGGTTCACTTTTTATTCTCTTGGTTAGAAGCAGTAGCTTATGAACAGGAAGACACACTTAATGATGGAAACCTTTCTTCCAAATCCTCAAGCACCTTTCTATTAAGACTGGCTGAACTTTGGTGTGGAAACAAGATTGTAGATGTATTCCTGCTTGAAAAATGTAGATCTCACATCTT